AAGGCATGTAATAAATGTGTCTAATCTTATAAGCGTTTTGCGTGTAGAGTTTCTTTTATGCAATTCTTCGGGTAGTGGCTAAGCGCGACACCTGTGTTTCTTTCAGACTTTTTCCTCCTTTGAGAGGGGTTGCGGCACTTGAAATTTTCGGGGACGGGGGTGGAATTTTCTGGGAGGGGACGAACACTGGAAAAACTAAATAATTATGTTTTGTCAAATGAGACAGTATCCATGTTTTGGGTTGAGGGGAGGGGCTGGCGGGGCGGAGCCCCCTTCCCCCAAATAGAGTTGCCTGAAAGAAACTCTAAATACGACTTTCGTCATGATTGAAATGAGGTGCATGATTTAGGAGTATGGCTACGACTATATTTAGTATAAATGCGCAATAACTACGTGTAGATCAAGCATAAATCCGATTAAAATGTCGATTCTGGATAAAAATCTGTTTCCAATGTTTGTTTTTTTTTTTGTTTAAAGAAAAAAGACAGCACTATCAACCTAGCGCCCGTTGTATCATTCCTCAACGGGCCATTTATCTCGTGTACATATATTTACATATAATATAAAATAGATACATATTTAAATAAATAAATAAATAAATATATATGTGTGTGTATGTAGGCCTACGTAGATCTATAGCCTATAGGTATATATAGTTGCAGCTTGTGTCAATTTGAGCGAACATTTTATTAATCCACCTATTCATTCACGTTGAATCGTACTCATAGTAAGTTATTAGATTTGGTTATACCCCCTCACGGACCGTTAATTTTACTTATCAGTTATTAAAAATGCTCAACAAAACCTATTTTCCCTCTGTCAATTTTGCAGTTGGGGTACCCCCCCTAACCTCGCTTGATAGCTATAAAGTGTGCACATTTAAAAGTAACGATGTTCATATACGGTTATTACTACAGCTAGATGTAGCTTTGTTTTCTCTCTAGTTGCCACTTTTACCTCACGGTGTCACTTAAAAAAAACATTTTAACTATAATTAATCATTAATTGAACCGGCAAAAAAAGCATTTTTCTTCAATAAACAATTTTTAGCCTTGGTGTCACCCCTAAAAGGTGTTACCTGGTGCGGTCCGCACCCCCGCCTCTGTATGATGAGCTTGTATCAATAAGGTGCTCGTAATATTGTGGATGTAGAGATTGAGGGGGGGGGGGTGCATGATGTTAAAATAATATGGTACCGCACGGTACTATAGAGCAGGGGTCTCCAAACATTTCAGCCCGAGCGCCGCATTAACTATCAAATATCAGTTCGGGGGCCAGAGTTTCTTCCATGCATCTCTTTGGGGTGGCGGTATCCCCGTACCCTCCCCCAACGAAATGTAATTTATATAGAAATATATACACATTTTAAATGCACCCCCCCTACCCTGGAGAAAAAGTCTGAAAGAAACATTGTCGGAGACCAACAACACACTCGAGGTTTTGAAACAGTCTCACTTCTGCCTTTGAATCCTAGTCAGAAAACCGCTACTGAAACTGCAGCTGTAGGTCTTGTTAGCAGTTTTCACTATTTGAGTATCGATGTTTTCATCCATGTCTGCAGCACGGAGGGCAAAGGTAGTTTTGAATTTTCTGGGCAAAGCTCCTCAGCCATTTCTAACAAACATTTTTTCCGTGAATAAAAATATCTCCGCGGACCGGATAAGAGGACCTCGCGGGCCGCATACGGCCCGCGGGCCGTAGTTTGGAGACCCCTGCTATAGAGCACGGAGTGGAACTAACAATAAAAAATGCTCACTAAAACTTTACCAACAATTGTTCTGAATATCATATGTATTTTTAATTGCTGCATACATTAATTAATTAATTTTAAAAATCCGTAGATTTAAAAAAATAAAATGGATAAAACTAGCTCTTTAAGACCGTAACGACGCTCCCAGCGGTCGGTCCGCCGGCCTGCCATACCGTAACGACGCTCCCAGCGTCCGATAAAATTTTCTCTATTTAATTCGTTGTTTTTCGGAATCCAAGTTTTTAATCGTAAATCTAGGTAATGATAACGCTAGAGCGGCCATTTTTCGTTGTATTTACTTCTTGTAGTTTTCTCGTTAGATCGATTTTGTATTTTATAGATTTTTTTTTGTAAAACAACTCGAAAAACGGAATGCCGTTCAGCGGCCGCGTCTAAACGTTTACGTCGCCGCATTATAAAATTAACGAAAATTAAAGTATTTATACTAAGACTAATCCGATCCATGATTTTTGTAGATAAATGGACGTACTTTCGTTTTCTATGAATAAGAACTCATGAAAAGTTATTCTTATTATTAATTTTCCCGACAGACGCGTAATTTTTGCACGAAAAAATCAACTCTTTATTTTTTCTTCTTTAAATCTAATTAATTATCTTTCTTCAATAAATAAATAATTCCTTAAAGTTTATATCAGTGTGTAGGGTATTCAATTACGATTAATTTTTATCAATAACGTGTGGGGTTTAAATTAACGGGTAAAAAGATATGGGTCATTTAGCCGCAGGGGTGCTGAAAAAAAATGAGGGAAAAAAAATAATTCCGGTAAAACGTGAAAATAATTACGGGCTTAAAGAGCTAGAGAATGTTTAGAATAAAACCCAGTCTAACCTGCATAGTTTTCTGTGTTTGAGCAGTTGAACTGTTGAGAGAACAGCAGAATAGCCAACACAAATAAAATCAAACAGTAGAGGCCCATCGCTGTGTACTGGTAGCCAGCAAGTGAAGAAATGGCTGAGATGTTGAGTGTTCGAACTGCTACGTGGCTAATCCTGTGACAGGTTTTAAAGCAATTAGTTTGAAATCTGCAAAAACCTACATTTTGCAAATAACTAACGGCAAATTGCCAGCTAGGATTGACTTGCCGATAAGATGGTAAAGTCTATTGATACTACTCAAGTTGGTCCATACACTAGGGGCAGGCGGGCTACTATAATCGGGTGTACGGTCAAAAACCCCCTGGACAAAAAACCCCTGGACAAATCCCCCCCCCAATATAAACCCCCCGGACATAAACTCCCCGCGACATGAACCCCCTGGACAAAAACCCCCCGCGATATAAACCCCCTGGACAAAACCCCCCCGCGATATAAACCCCCTGGACAAAAAAACCCCAATTGAGGTTAATATAAGGAAAAACCAAAGATGATGAGAACCAAAATTAATATATAAATTAAAAAAAACCTTAGAAAAAAGCTGTTTTATTTTTATTATAACTTTTAAAAGACAGATTGTGAGCGATGCCTCGCAAGTACTCAATAATGGTGGACTCATTTAATTTTTTTAACAACAGTTAAAATTCGAGCGCTGTTATCAATAATTCTTTTTTCTGCTTTGGTAAACAGTGACCTGAATTCATCTATTTACAATAAACCTCTTGGAACGATTGTTCCTTTTTAATAAAGTCAATGATTTTCCAAATATTTGGGTGGCAACATCCCATATTCGACTGGAAACTTCTGTGCCAGCCTTCAACTGAGTTGTTTGATATTGGCATATGGTCTTCTGCACGTGTGTGCATGTTCCACATATCAAGTGAAAGCATAGGTTGTCTCCGACCTCGACGTTGTGGTCTGCCAATATAGTAGTCCTCGAAATAGTCTGCAATTGGCATTGCTTCTTGGGAGAAATTTTCCAATAATGTTTCAAAGGCATAACTCATGTGTTCATTGGGAACAAAAACCAACGCAGGTAGCATTCTGAGCATGAGAGCAAATTCACTATCAACTTGGTAGAGTTGTTGAAGGCCAGAGTTCTGTATTTGTACCATCCATAAACCAGTGCTCATTAATCTCCAAAAACCTAAGGTTTTCTTTTGTTCCAAACAAAAACATCCTACCTTTTGATGACCATGTGGATGACCTATATTTAAGGTGTTGTCGGTGCTTGATCTTTGATCAAATTCAACTATGGTCACTCCTTGATTTCGAATAGCATTTTATTAGGTAGAAACTATTTTCTTTGTCGTAAAAAATTAAATTAATTTAATGTAATTTAATGTAATTGATTTTTATTTTTTTTGGTTCACATCATCGTTATTATTTCTTTATATAAACCTCCGTCCGGGGGTTATTATCCGGGGGGTTTATGTCGCGGAGGGTTTTTGTCCAGGGGGTTTGTGTCCAGGGGGTTTATGTCCAGTTTTTTTTTTTACCTATTTGAACTATTTTGTTTATTTTACTTAATTCCGCTTTGGAAAAAAGGCCACAAGTCTAAAATTCATAATAAGTAACGCATTTATGAAACCCTTAAAATGTTGAATCACGGGAGCACCTGAAGCATGTTGGAGGCACAGGAACCATAAAAAGCACCACAAAACACAATGAGGAAAAAAAATGCTTCATTCTAGGCAAGGAGGCTGGAGATGAAAGCCACTAAGTCCAAACTTCTGACTTGGTTTAAGCTCAGTTGGGATGATCCAAATGCTCCTGATTATTTATGTCCATGTCCATGTCCATGCCCATATCCATGTCCATGTCTGTCTATGTCTATATCTATATCTATATCTATATCTATATCTATATCTGTATCTGTATCTGTATCTGTATCTGTATCTGTATCTGTATCTGTATCTGTATCTGTATCTGTATCTGTATCTGTATCTGTATCTGTATCTGTATCTGTATCTGTATCTGTATCTGTATCTGTATCTGTATCTGTATCTGTATCTGTATCTGTATCTGTATCTGTATCTGTATCTGTATCTGTATCTGTATCTGTATCTGTATCTGTATCTGTATCTGTATCTGTATCTGTATCTGTATCTGTATCTGTATCTGTATCTGTATCTGTATCTGTATCTGTATCTGTATCTGTATCTGTATCTGTATCTGTATCTGTATCTGTATCTGTATCTGTATCTGTATCTGTATCTGTATCTGTATCTGTATCTGTATCTGTATCTGTATCTGTATCTGTATCTGTATCTGTATCTGTATCTGTATCTGTATCTGTATCTGTATCTGTATCTGTATCTGTATCTGTATCTGTATCTGTATCTGTATCTGTATCTGTATCTGTATCTGTATCTGTATCTGTATCTGTATTGTGACCTACTTAGGTCCAGTAATGTTTTATTTTGACATTGTATAATACCTTATATGGATTGATGGTGCAACTACCGGGGTTTTTCCACTGTCTTATTAAGGGTGTCTAAGACTAAGAAATTTTCCATCAAGATCTGATTGATTGATTCGGATCAGATGACTACCCCAACCAATGGCTACATGAGTTGAGGATAACCTCCCCTGTGGCCTAAGTCTTTAACTAGTTCGCACACACGCGACACGAGGCAGTCTACCTTGATCAAACGGTCTATTAAGACCAGGCCGTCCATTTTGTCCGGCAATAGATTCTGACCATTTGAACGTGAGAGAACTTAAGTCCTGAGTGTGCTATGCTTTCTTAAGTTGTTTTAGTCTTCTAGTATAATATTACTTGTCGCCAAGTGAGTCTTGAAGCTATAGCAGTGTTGTGTGACCTGTGGCTATTTTTATACAGTGTTAAAATCTGTGATAGTGTTTTTTCTTACGCTTTGTAAGTTGGGTTTTGTTATTTTCTAAATTAAATATTTTATCTCGTTTAACCTAGTGTTCTGCCACAACTGTGTTCGCTTATTAAAGGTTGTATGCAGATTGGATGAGTGTTAACTTCAATAGTATCACTAGTTTTCCCTAGACATCAAAATCGAGCCCTAGTGTGTTGTTGAGTTAGTGTTCATTCATTTAGGCTGTAAGTCATTTGCATATAACCCCAAAAAAAGAATCCGGGGACGTTCACCTTCTATCTGGCTGGTGGATAGGTAAACGTTACAGTATCTGTATCTGTATCTGTATCTGTATCTGTATCTGTATCTGTATCTGTATCTGTATCTGTATCTGTATCTGTATCTGTATCTGTATCTGTATCTGTATCTGTATCTGTATCTGTATCTGTATCTGTATCTGTATCTGTATCTGTATCTGTATCTGTATCTGTATCTGTATCTGTATCTGTATCTGTATCTGTATCTGTATCTGTATCTGTATCTGTATCTGTATCTGTATCTGTATCTGCATCTGTATCTGTATCTGTATCTGCATCTTCATCTGTATCTGCATCTGCATCTGCATCTGCATCTATATCTGCATCCGCATCCGCATCCGCATCCGCATCCGCATCCGCATCCGCATCCGCATCCGCATCCGCATCCGCATCCGCATCCGCATCCGTATCCGTATCCGCATCCGTATCCGTATCCGCATCCGTATCCGTATCCGTATCCGTATCCGTATCCGTATCCGTATCCGTATCCGTATCCGTATCCGTATCCGTATCCGTATACGTATTCGTATCCGTATCCGTATCCGTATTCGTATCCGTATCCCTATCCCTATCCCTATCCCTATCCCTATCCCTATCCCTATCCCTATCCCTATCCCTATCCCTATCCCTATCCCTATCCCTATCCCTATCCCTATCCCTATCCCTATCCCTATCCCTATCCCTATCCCTATCCCTATCCCTATCCCTATCCCTATCCCTATCCCTATCCCTATCCCTATCCCTATCTCTATCTCTATAGCTATAGCTATAGCTATAGCTATAGCTAAAGCATTAGCTATATCTACATCTACATCTACATCTACATCTACATCTACATCTACATCTACATCTACATCTACATCTACATCTACATCTACATCTACATCTACATCTACATCTACATCTACATCTACATCTACATCTACATCTACATCTACATCTACATCTACATCTACATCTACATCTACATCTACATCTACATCTACATCTACATCTACATCTACATCTACATCTACATCTACATCTACATCTACATCTACATCTACATCTACATCTACATCTACATCTACATCTACATCTACATCTACATCTACATCTACATCTACAGCGACAGCGACAGCGACATCGACATCGACAACGACATCGACATCTCATCTGCATCATCATCTGCATCTGCATCTGCATCTGCATCTGCATCTGCGTCTGCCTCTGCAACTGCATCTGCATCTGCATCTACACCTACATCTACATCTACATCTACACCTACATCTACATCTACATCTACATCTACATCTACATCTACATCTACATCTACATCTACATCTACATCTACATCTACATCTACATCTACATCTACATCTACATCTACATCTACATCTACATCTACATCTACATCTACATCTACATCTACATCTACATCTACATCTACATCTACATCTACATCTACATCTACATCTACATCTACATCTACATCTACATCTACATCTACATCTACATCTACATCTACATCTACATCTACATCTACATCTACATCTACATCTACATCTACATCTACATCTACATCTACATCTACATCTACATCTACATCTACATCTACATCTACATCTACATCTACATCTACATCTACATCTACATCTACATCTACATCTACATCTACATCTACATCTACATCTACATCTACATCTACATCTATATCTATATCTATATCTATATCTATATCTAAACTTGAATGGTTATAAATCGGAGGCTTCACAGTTGACAGTTTTGAAATTAAAAGCGTAATGTATTATTTATCTATGGATAGTGTATTTTTAACTTAAGTTTTTTTAATCCATCACTACATCTACGTACTCTTCCACCTCCAACAAGACCATTACCTCCTACACCAATATTTCACCCGAAC